CGTGAACATTTGGGCGGCATTACGCTAATATTTCCACATAGTGAGGTAGATATGTGGGGGCGTGTTAGAACGAGCCGTTTTAGGGGGGCGTGGCAGAGTCTTAACTTTGATAAAGAATATCTCTTTGGTTTTGAGACTTTAGTCTTTGCAACTTCAGGGATCTTATCTATGCACAATCAGCTTGTAACACTCCAAAGAGAAAGGAAAACTTGAAATCGCATCATATGACCCCTTTAACATTTTAGGAGGACTAAAATTTACATATGTGGTTTCAACAACCAGATGCATTTACACTTGTCCAGTTTCGTGTGGAATGCGTCCCAGACCACCTCCTAAAGTGGTTTGAGCGATCGGATTTAAATCCTTCTCGAAAGCGTTTCGGAGGGCATTCACACCTGGTCTTTTCAGTGGCCAGTTGCATACAGGACCTTAATCGTAAGCTTGGTGAACAGTTTTGGAGAATTTAATGTTTCCCCATTCAAAGCGATAGGAGCCGTACTTGCATGACGGAAATAGGTGAAATATTTTAAATGTCATACTTTTCAGCTGTACTTTTCAGTCATGCAAGTACAGCTCTTTGAAAATAAAAGCTAATTGAAAATATGAATAAATGCTATAAAATTATATAAATAATTTATATAATGTTATAGTATTTATTCATATTTTCAGTTAGCTTTTATTTTCATACTTTCAGTTTTCAATTTAATTTAACTTTAGTTTTTAGCATTTCTGTTTAGATTTAATATATTTTTTGTTCAATCATGACAACTCTCTGAAAATTTTAGCATGGTGATGGAAGATGGATATGACAATGTTAATGTATTTGGTCTTGGCGGAATAGGTCTGCTACGCTGCTGCTGAATTGCTGCTGCTGTTGGTTATTGCTGTAGTTGTAAATGATTGCTGCTGCTGCAAGCAAGTACAGGAACTTGCTACTGTCAATGCATACGGCGATACGGTGCCGTTAGTATTGAAGACATACTGCTACTGCACAAATATAGCACCCATAGCAGATCTATACAGGTGGAGCTGGGGAAGGTGGAGGGTTTCAGAGAAACTCTGAAAGCGCGCTGCAGGAATCTCTAGTGAATGCTAGCCAGCCATATAAATGCAAGGCAGTAAGTTCATTAGCTGCGTATGCAGCATGAACCAATCAGCTTGTGCCAAGTCGTTTAACGCTCTAAATATCATCGGTTACGTTAACAACCAGTCGCCTGCGCCATCTAGAGTTTCATGACTGAACTATATATTTCAGTTTTAGTAATTTTAGTCAAGGCAGCATTCTTAAGTTTTTCATCTGATATTTATATTTTATATTATTTTATTTTAGGTTTATTGCAATGAAAACCTTTTTTTAATAGTTTTAGTTAACAATAACAACGCTGAGTGTCAGTGTTCATGGTGCTTTACCGAAGACTTTTCCTCACTGTCATTGTTAAGGACTAACAACTGTTTCACTTTTCTTCTGTTTCTCTGTTTAGTTGATCATCTGTTTTACACAGCTGCCTGCTTTATAGGGGCTTCAAACACTTGGCCCAGAGCGTTGCAGTGAGTAATGCAGCCTCATAGACTATCAAAGAAGTATGAAGAAGCCCAAACACAGAGCATATTGACCTGATTAATGTAGCATAAGATGTTGTTTCTTTTGCGCATTGCTGTTGTGTTTTATATTTGATCAAGTCAATCACATAATTAATGCCAAAAAGCAGTTTCTTATTTGCTGCTTCACTGTTGACACAGATTTTTTTTTGCTGCTTTCATCATCTTTAAAGTGGTCAGTGGACTTAGCTGACGCTATGGAACTCTCTCTAATGCTGTTTCTTTTGATGACAGAGTCAGAGTTTTATATGAAGTCGTGTTCTTCCTTACATCCATGTCTTATTTTCCTTTTTGGGGGGGGATCAGACGTCTAAATATAGAATTGTGGGTTAACAAGAATTTAGTATGAAGTCCATGTGTCGGGGGAGATTCTTCAGAAGGCTGAGTTATGTCAGTTATTGCTGAGTCACAAATGTGATGTGTAATCTCTTTTGATCCTTGAGCTGCATTGAATGTTATTTGTTGCAGATGACTGGCAGTTCCTGTATTAGCATTTGAATATTGAATTCAGTTTTGTCTTTTATTTTTATGGTTATTTTGATAAATAATAAGGTAAATAATAGCATATGCATTGACCTAGTTTCTGATTGATCAATGCCACCTTGCAAATCCTCCTAATATGATATTATATTGATATCTTGGTCATGAAATGTTATATTATTTGGTTTGTGAGAGAATAGTGCATCTGTGTTCCAATAGGTTTATCATAGCACTAAAACCCACAACTGTTAGAAATTGTATGCTATATGGCATAATCAGGTACGTATTGATTGTAATGCCACACTTCATGTGAAAAAAATGCAGCACAAAATATTATTCTTTTTGGCATGATATTTGCGATCATGTATTGAAGTATTTACCTTACAATACTGTGAAAGAATAAGTAGGTCTAAATCCATAAAGTGCACCCTCCTGTATTAGCATTTGAATATTGAATTCAGTTTTGTCTTTTATTTTTATGGTTATTTTGATAAATAATAAGGTAAATAATAACATATGCATTGACCTAGTTTCTGATTGATCAATGCCACCTTGCAAATCCTCCTAATATGATATTATATTGATATCTTGGTCATGAAATGTTATATTATTTGGTTTGTGAGAGAATAGTGCATCTGTGTTCAAATAGGTTTATCATAGCACTAAAACCCACAACTGTTAGAAATTGTATGCTATATGGCATAATCAGGTACGTATTGATTGTAATGCCACACTTCATGTGAAAAAAATGCAGCACAAAATATTATTCTTTTTGGCATGACATTTGCGATCATGTATTGAAGTATTTACCTTACAATACTGTGAAAGAATAAGTAGGTCTAAATCCATAAAGTGCACCACTTTGCACAATGACCAATTTGGTTTTAGTTACATCATTCCTCCTCAAAATAAATGAGGAGGAATAATTTACCTAACCTCCTCAGGGAAAACGAATCTCATCCGAATAGGGCATGAGATTGTTTTGCTCACTTATGCTTCATTAAGAAGCTTCTCACCTTTGCCTTCCATCCTTCATATCTGAATGGGTCATTTCATTACTGTGCAGCTGCTTCTGAATACAAAGCCAAACACTGCCAGCTTTTAGGGCCAACCTCCGCACCCACCGTAAAAAGCAGTGCAAATGGAAAGTTTATAAAACGTGTAGTGGAATATAAACCAGACAAGCTGATACTGCTTTCAGGAATCCTTCTTGAAAGTAGCACTCTTAATTATTTAAACACACTCCTGTTTCGTGGCCTTGGCACATTCCAAACCTCCTTCACATGTGTGAGACTGTAACAATTCGAACTATGCAAGAGAAAAAGCCTTGAAGCATCTGTTTGCAATGGCATGATGAAAGTCCTCAGAACTCAAACTGTTTGATGTAACTGTGGGAAATAACGTCCAGTGATCTTGCTCTGCATCTGTGTTTTACTCTGCTGTTTACTGTAGTGGCTTGATTGACTTAATTTGTTGACATTAATCAGTCAAAAATCTGTCAAAATCAGTATTTCTTCCAATTACCTTAAACTTATTGGTTCAAAGGGTGAATAGAGAAGTGTTAAAGGCTTGCACAAATTGTTTGTGGTAGTTTGTTACAGCAGTGTCTAACTATAGCTGTATACAACTAAATTAATAAACCTTCCATATGTATAATTACAAATATTAAATTACAGTGATTAGGTTGATATGTGCATTGCTTTGTGCATTTAGCTTTTTTCCACATAGTTTTGTTGCAATTTTTTCAGTTTGCATTAGATCATTTAATTTATTTGGTTTTACTGTCTTTGTGTCTCCTTAGTCCGGCCTTTGGAGGCTCCAAACATGCCAAATGAGTTTTCAGTGGAAGTGCTACGTAATGCATCCTCCGCCTCGTCTGGATTTTCTCTTTCACCTAGTTTGGATCCATCCAAAGCCACAGAGAGTTACAATCACAATGTTAACACTGGATCGGTATTCACTTACTCCCTGAACTCTGTCACAAGCCCAGAGCCTCTTGCCACACCTCCTTTAAAAGTCCTAAAGTCTGGAGAGGGAGTTGGATATACCCGCAGAGGTTCCTCCAGACAGCCTCGACAACTAATTTCTCCAGTGCCTACCTCCCATAATGTGCCCTTATCTTGGTCTGCTATCAGCCCAGCTCCCCAAATATCACAGGCTACAGGTTCATCTGTGCCGTCTAGCTTGCCTTCAGTTGGACAAGATTCTCCGTACGAGCCTCCTGTTCTTTCCCCTCAAACGCAGTATGGGACGGTGGGAGTCAGTGACTCTGAGGTTCCTTTTGTAGACCGATGGGAACCATCCAGTAGAATCCAAGACCTCCAGTTGCAGCCCAGCCATGACCCAAACACCCAGATAAGCTATCAGCCGGTGGAACCAAGTAATGTTGTACACCATCAAATGACTTCTGTGTCTGTCGAGCCAACTATGGGCCCACCCGAAGACTTTTTCCCAACCAACACCATGGATGTGGACTATGGTTCTGGAGATTACCTAGAAACAATGTCCTTCATGGGATCTGAAGGCAACGACTATTCACTGGTTAGCAATCTACCCTCTGATACGTATGACTTTGAGGACTCAAATTCCGAGACCTATGACACCACGTTCCCCACAAGAATGGTGATGTCATTTTCCAGCAAACATTTGTATCCTTCATCTATCAGTGTTACTAATTCTTTCTCCAGCAAACTTGTTGAAAGTTCCAGTTTTAATAGCAATTCAACCTTGAATGGAGCCACCACTGACTTAACCAAACACGTAACAACCTTTCAGAATTTTACAACTGTTGTGCCCTTTACCATGTCAAGAACTCCAGTTTTCACCAATATTTTGACATCAGACCTTGGCCACACAATTTCTCCATCTCTTTCAACTATCCAGCCAACCAGAATCCATTCTTTAACCATTCTCCCGACAACTTCAGATGTCTTAAACCAGAACCAGTCTGTCAACGAGAGCTCAGAGTTGGCATCTGACTGGGCAGGCACTGTTACAGTCCAACCCACTGATGTACTTTTACCAGATATGAACAGTTTAGAGTACTACACCATCCAGTTGACCAAGGACAATGGTAGCTTGCCAGAGCCCACTGCCAATCAGACGGCCTCTAGTGTTTTCTCTTTCATTACGGTTGGCACCACACATATTGTTAGCACTAGAACCTACACCATTGACCCAAGTTACATGCTAACAACTTTGTTTGATGAAGATCTACAGCCTACAGGTAACAGTTCCTGGGCTGAGGAATCCTCAACTGATATCTCTGGATTTGAGCCTTTTAACACCACTATCTTGGATCCCTCTGAAGTTAGACCGAGTTTAACAGATACTACAGTGCCATATTTAAAGCCGTCATTTACACCGACACCCTCAATAGACCTTTTAACTTCGATGGGAGATATAAACTCAACTACTGATTGGGCTACCACACCTTTTATAGCATACAACACTTCATTACTGGTGACAACCCCACCTCCAGTGACAAAGGAACCAGATGGCACGTCTTCTGTTAATGACAGCCAATGGATTATCACCTCACTCTCATCAGAGACCTTCTTTCCTAGTAGTGTACTTCCCACTGTTTTAGTAACCACCTCTATCAGTGTTTCTGAATACCCAACTGACTCAACCTTCAACATCACCTCCACCCCTCCTGCAACAGAGATGGCTGATGAAGGATTCGTGTCTGGAACAACATCTGACACCATGGTTACTGATAACGATAACACCACACCGATCGGTAGCCTTACAACCACGTCCTCCCCAGGATTACATAATGACACCACTGTCAAGCCTTTCACTATCATAAGCTCCAACAACACAACAGTGACTTCCGTGAACGATACATCAGTTACAACCCTATCTACAACCCCTCCAACGACCACTGTCCGGAAGTATCTCTGCAACATCACTAAACCTGACACCTACTTGATCAGAGTTGGTAAGACATAACGAAAATAAATTTGCTGCACATTTTTAGACCAGAAAGGTGTTCATATCTATTTTTTAGGGTCAGTGTGCAACTCGATCCATAAAGCACTGATGCACCTTAAGCAATAGTTGGATTAGCAAGCATGATTTTATAGTAATATATTTTAATATTGAAGGCTCCAAGAATAACATTAAGCCTGATATTTGCTCTGTTTTAGGGTTTCCTCCAGGGTCCACTGCTGGATATGCCAAAGCCAAAGTCAGAGAGATTCTCAAAGCAGAGTATAACCGCTCTGTGGAGCTACAGGTACTGCGGCTATGTAATGAATAGGCTTATGTTTTTCTCCTCTTTTTTTGTTCTTTTCTTTATTGATTTAAAGAAGTGACAGCAATTCTACTTAATCTAAAATTATTTTAAACAATATTATGTAATTACAATTACAAATACCATTATTATAGATAGTTTTCTTTAATTGCTAGATTATGGAATATTTGTACTTTTAAAAATGCATTTATTATTCTACAGCAGCGTTTAATTGCAAAAACCAAAAGCTACAAGTTTTTAATGATGAAGTCATCTAAAAATATACATTTTAACATACAATATTTTTTAAATAAAAAAAAACATCTAAGTTTCCATACATATATATTTTGCATATATATATATATATGCATATATTTAATTTTGTACATATATATGCATATATTTAATGCATATTTTGGGATATTAAAATGTTAAAAAAATTTCAAATGTTACCAGGATATGGATGGAATATTGCACACACATACAAAATAGTTTTTGCGATATTACTATTTATTGCATAAATTGAATTCATAACTTTGTTGGAAACATTGGTGTGGTATTTAGGTATGTGTACATTTATTTTTCAGTTTTCCAAGTTTACCTATTGAAATTAACAAGAAAATTGGCTTCTATTCAGGCTGAGAAAGCTGTTGAGAAATTAGGCAGCATTTTTTTAAGCTTTTGTTTCTTTTAAGAATTTAACATGATATTGATAGTTTAACCTGCTTAATCTTGGTTTGAACCACAGAAACTTAAAATATGTTTTGTAATCCAGTGTTGTGTCAGTGGAACATATAGATAAAATCATCCCTTCCTGGTTTATCTCTTGGGTCCTCATGAACAAACAACACCTAATTTGGCTCAGTGGGAACAAACTGAGCCAACTCTTTGCAACTTTCTGCGCTTAATACAGTTAGCCACAAGTTTTATAGGCCCACTAAAAGGCTTTTTGATTTTCTCCATGTGCTTGAAAAGGATTTGAAATTGCTATAACAAATATGATGTACATATCCTAGATATCAGATGTTCCTAATAAGCTCTTTGTGTGTTGTAGGTAGTGAAAGCTCCTCCAGACTTTGTGTTTCGTGCTGTGTCTGGTGCAGTGGTTTATACTGCCATATCAGTCATTAATGCCCTGAGAATCTCTGCTCGGACCACCAGCTCCTTTATCAGCGTGTCACCCATCAGTCCTGTACCAGGCCCGCAGTACCATGTACATACAGGTAACTGCAGTGGAAACTTCACGTCACAGTTCTTGAATATTCTCTCTGGCATTTAAATTTTGTTGCTATATGACTATATGCATGTCTTTTGTCTGTCTGCAGTTCTTCAGTTTGTACCCAGCCATGTAGATGTGAGAATGTGTACCTTCAGTGAGCAGGCAGAGAAGGGTCTGATCACAGCCTTAGCTGAAGTCCGCCGACGCTCACAGGAATCCACAAACTTCACTGTGAATGTACGTTGACTGCTTTGCCCAGCTTAAGAATTTCAAACACCAAAAACCTGACACTGAACTCCTTCAAATTCTCTTAATTACTGCTTATTTCATTTAGTTTTGCTTAAATTACTCCTTTAGCGTCATACACAATGATGCTATATGACAGGGGTGGCGAACGTCGGTCCTGGAGAGCCGCAGCCCTGCAGAGTTTTGCTTCAACCCTAATCAAACACACCTGAACAAGCTAATCAAGTTCTGAACAGTTACTAGGAAGCTACAGGCAGGTGAGTTTTAATTAGGGTTGGAGCTGAACTCTGCAGGGCTGAGGCTCTCCAGGACCGGAGTTCGCCACCCCTGCTATATGATGTAAATATGCCAAATGAGAATTACATTTTAATGTTTTTATCCTTTAACCAGCAAGTTTTTGATTTTAGCAAAAAGGAGCATGCTTGAAATTTCGGTTGTGTGATGTGAATTCAAGGCTTGATTGCCTTCAGTGCAGTGGGATGACATTGTCTCCAGTTGTTTGCTCTGATTGGATAAGGAAAGTGTAGGACTGCTCAATTCAACCGTTGTCAAGGCAACAAAACTAAAGGCTCGTATTCATTTAATTCACTTACGTTCAGAAAGTGTATGCGCTTTAATAGATCAGTGTGTTAATGAAGAGACCTGTGCTGAGAATGTATGAGCTTTCGTGGATTAAGTGTGTATGTTTTTATATTAATTAAGATTTTTAATCAGTGTATGTATAATTTATTTTTAATGGTATTTTAGTAACTAATTTATTTATTTTTAAAAATATTTTTGTTGTTGTTAAATTTCATTTTCTTTTTCTTTTTTTCTTTTTTTAGTAGTTCACATTTTACATTAGATGATTAATTGAAAACCTGAATGTGTTTGGTTTATACAATTATACAGAAATATGTCTTGTAGAAATATGTCTTTTGGATGTTGCTAATTTCTAAAATCCCTTTCTGGAGAATGAGAATAGTCTCTAATTCTAATATCTAATTGCTTTAGTTTCACACAATTGTGTCTTAGAGACTGAATTGTTTTGTAGATTTTAAACGTCACCAAGAGTCCTGTGGACACGGCGGCACAACAGCAGAAGGTTCCAGTGGAGATCACCTTTGCTGTGCACGATATCCGCGGGTATGTGCCAGGGACAGAGGTGAGCGCCCAGCTTCGACAACTCGGTGTGGTTGAGTACAGCTACTACCTTGGCTACCCTGTATGGCAGATTGCAGAACGTGAGTCCATACACTAATTTCTGTGTATAATTCTGTGTACATAAATACACTTGCAAAACAACTGTTATGTACAACAACTTAAAGTGGTCAAACTGGGTTTTATAGCAGTGTATTTGGTTAGACTTTGGGCACCCGCCAGTTTAGCCAAAGTGGTCCATCTACTGGTATTCTAGCTTTTAAACTAGCTTAAACTACCTAGAAATCAGCTTCAGTGAGGTGTGCTGTGCTGTATGTTATAATGAAAATTATATATATTTGTTCATATTTGATGTTTATTTACTTCTCTGCACTATTAGCTTTCCACTACCCAGAGCTGAACTCAACCCAACTGCTTCGTTCCTCATGGGTTAGAACAGGTACTGACCTGCTGATGTTAAGCTTAACACACTGGGTATTACAAAGTACACTACTGTTTGAAAGTTAGGGGGCAGTATTATAATTTTTGTTTTTTTTATGAAGAATTTGGTATTTTATTAAACAAGGATGCATTAAATTTATCAAAAGTGACAGTAAAGACTATTTATCATTTTGATCCGATAATTGCAGCCTTGGTGAGCATCCGGGACTTCCTTCAAAACAAACCAACCCCAACTTTTGAACAGTAGTGTAATGATACTATACCATCAAATATTCAGTATATTTCCGAGAGAGAGAAATGAGCTATTGCAATGCCTTAATGTCACATTTTACATATTGTGTTCAGTGGTGTTGGGAGTGTTGGACCAGCGCGAGAGTGACAAGATCTTCAAGGCTACGATTGAGAGGAGACTGGCTCAGTTGCTGGGTGATGCATTGGGTGCGGGGCCCCGCTTTAGAAGAGCAACTAGTGTGGGAAACAACAGCGTACAGGTTTGTAAATCATCTGTGTTATATGACCTTATATTTTCTGTTCTTGCTTTCCACACATGAGCTCATTGGATTCATTTATAGAGCTCTTTCTGTGTGCATGTCTAATGCCTCTCTGGATTCTTAATCAGTCACTGTCTTTGTGGTGCATCCCCACACCTGCTCTCCCCCCGCACATCATCATTCAGGGACAAGGGGTGGGTTGCACCAACATGGATTAAATTAAGCCAAGATTAGAGCTAATCAAGGATTTGTTGATCAGGGTTTTATTTTAAGTCGAGTTGTGTTGCACCACTTAATTTTAAACACAGATTAACAAATCCGGGATTAGAACTCTAACCTGCGATTAAAACCTCCATCTACGATTAATTTTCTCCGCCATGATGGATTTCGCCATTGCAATTAAACAGGAACAATGCTAATATTCATAATTTTTCTTTGCTTACTACCAAACTCTCTTTCTGACATAAAAAGTTGCTCGTGTCAAAAAAGGAAATAAACTTGTAAAATATTTGCCGTCTTAATAAACTGCTATCGTTATTCAAACGGCTGATCAAGCAAGCAATGAATACGTTTCTGGCAGTGCATACGGATTTCATAATCCTGGAAATATATTTATAGTATCAATTAATGGAGTATGTTTTATGACA